ATTAAAAGCATTAAATGATATCTTAAAATGAAAAAAAAAAGAAAAAATGAACAATAAAATTTAAACACTTTAAATAAGAAATTAAATATATTAAAATTGAATAAAAAAAGTATAAAATTTTCATACAACTTCACATGTAATTAAATAAATGAATATACATAATATTATAAATTTTTAAAAAATAACAAAAAAACAATCATTAAATAACAGTTACCAAAAAGTTATATGATAATTTGTAAAATAAAATTCTCTTAATCATTTTCCTTAGTTTTGGCCTGCTGAAAATTCTTAAATTTAACTTCTATCGTCAACAAGCAGGTTAGTTTAGATATCTGGACCACTAAACCTTGTTTTTTTTTTTCTTTTTTAAAAAGAGAAAAAGTAAAAAGACACTTCTAACCTTAACCTCACTTGATTTTAGGGCTCCTTTAGTTTATGAAAAATGTTTATTTGGTGGGAAGTCAAGAATCGTGGTTAATACAAACTCTACAGGCTCTAGCGAACCAAGAATACAGAGAACATAGACTCAATAGAACAGAGATATAAATCTTGTGATAAATGTGAAGTCGACTGTATGATCCATTGGGATGCGAATCTTAGACAAGACACTAATGATAATATTACCGACATCAACCCTCACACTCAATGTGGCAAACTTGAGTTTGGAAGCCAAGCCTGGGTACGCAACTGAAATGCACAATAAGAAAATACAAAACTTGTCCAGAAATTGGAGCAGGACTAGGTTTCGGCCTTTCTGGTATAGACAAACTCGTCTTAACTCGATCTTAGTTGTGCTACGTGAAAATATGTTCAAATAAAACCATCATCAGATCCAAAAAAGTTTCTTATGAAGTGACTCTCAACTATACCTTGCATTTACAATATATACCTAAAAAATTGAATGAACCATCAGTTTTATTGATTATACTTATGGACCATATCCGTATTCCAAGAAGACAAATGCAAAATGTTTAGAGATTGATCGGCACTACCCAGGTCCATCATCTACGTATATTATTTGAAGAAAGCAAGATAACTTGTTAGGCTTCCTTGCACTTTGCTCAATATCATCTTGATTGTTGTAGATAAACCAGCAACTGACCATCATCAGCACCTACTGCAAGAACACCTGGCGTTGTATCATCAGTAGCAATACATGAAACGCAGCAACCTGTTACACATATTGGAGGTCAAAACTCAAATATTCATGTATAATTTGAACCATTACTCAACCATGAAAATTTGTAATTCATAGAGATTCCCTAAAATTTGCACAACCAAACCAACAGGCTCTCTATTTTATAATTTGAACTGGACATTTGAACTTCAATGTAATTAGACAGGTATAACTGGTTCTCTCAAATGTTACTGAATATCTGTGCATTATGAGGCAGAGACAAAAACAAGCAGAATGACCAGAAAGTACACTACTACCATTCAACAGGGCCTGCAAATAGCTTACTTAAACTTTATAGATAGAGTAAAAGGTTGCACGAGCTTATGAATAAAACTTTAATGCTTCCTTTCAATGTCATTAATTAAAATAAACAGGAAAAAACTAAATAAAATATAACAATTAAGAACACATGTTCTCATCCCTACCTAGAAGGCAAAAAGTGATGGGGCCAAGGTTTAGCGTGTATCATTAGGCTTCATCCAACTCAATCAAAACTCTCAAGATTTGTCATTTGAGTTATGAATACTGCATATTTAGTCTTGCAGTTGAGTAAAAATGGCAATGAAGTCCTTTGATAATTACTTACAGAGATCAAGTAAATTAGTAAATTATCTTAAAAAATTGATCAATCAACTCCTCTCCATTAATATAGGTCACGCATTGACAAACATCATTCCTTTACAAGAATTGGCAATTGCAACAATAATGAGTAGATTGCAGAAAAATATGAGAAAAGAAATATAACTTAAATGTTATTATCACTTCATAATCCTTTATTGAAATCAAGGATATGAAGCAATAATACACTAATCTTTAATTTCCATGACCACATACCTTTGAAATGATGCAGAATACCAAGTTTTGTTCCTGTAGACAATTCCCACATATACACATGTCCATCATGCGTGCCCATGATCCCCTGACCAGCTGATGCACCAACTGTAGCAGCACTGCACAGTGAGTTCAAAGTTTAAGATCACAGAATGTCAAACTGCAAGTTACTGGCCTACTTGATGGCCAAAAAGAGTTACTGTAAGTAATTTTCCTTTTGTCACTAGAGTCTACTCACTACTGTTAATACTCCAAAATCCAGTCATCAATTAGTCTATCAGACAAATAACCAATGGAGACTACAGTAATTATTATAGGGTAACATGGATGACTCATGCTGCTAATAACCATTTAAATTGCCCGTCAGCAATTCAATCTCATTGTCGGTACGTACCACAAACAAATTCCAAAACAAGACTACGCCACAGATTTATAGTCTATGCTCTTGACAGAAAATAAGTTTGTAACCGCATCAAGGAAACAGAATAGAATATCCCATTTCCATTGAAGAGTGATACCCATAGGTTTTACAGTGAAAAACAAAGATTTAAATAAAAACTGTGGAGCACCTGGGATCCAGTGTACTTCCTAAGATCACCATATCCTTCACTAGAAGGGCTAGCCTCCACCATTTGACTGGATTTGCTTGGCAATGGCCTGATATATGTTCGTATGAAGCACCAGAATCAGAGAAGTTTGAGACAAGAAGCCAGACGGCAACATCTTTCTCTGATGGAAGTAAGCAACAGTTATCTGTATTCTTAGAAACCCTAGCTTTTGTCACAGCCATAATTTCATCAATATGCTCCTTCATATCAGCATTGAGAGAAACAGGGTTCCAAGTAATTAAACCGATTGGTAAGAATTGACTGATTGAATTGCCTGAGGCAGAAAATGTTGAGATGATGACCCGATTCAGAATGTCCCTGGAAGAAATAAAAGATGACTTCCATGAGTTGCTAATATAATTTATAAAATAAAAATAAGGGTTTTTTTCATTGAAGGTAAGGATAATTTGAGGAAAACATTAAATATTGAACACACAGAGAATATGACCTAGAATAGTGCTCAGTAAAAACGCAGTACTCTGTCAGATATTATGGAGGGATAATAAACTCAAATGGTTCCAGCAACTACCAAAAATAAAAAGACATATCCCACCTACAGCTCCCTATACTACACATACTTTCCATTGCAATAGATAATGTTTTATTATCCAGTCAAGTTGAGAATGACACCAGACTAAAAACTGACAAAGTAATATATTATCTATGATGTTTCCACTTCGGAATATGAATCGTATGATAGAATAGATTATATGAAAAAAACGGTGTCACATTCAGAAAATATTGAACCATGAAAAAAATAGCACATAACTCAGGAACAAAAACCAAGCTAACAATAAATCATGGTCTCAAAATCAGAAAGCTGCCAAATTGGCCAGCAGTTGCCAGCAGTTAGAGACAATGTACGCAAAGCATCACCAAACCAATAATTGCATATACCAGCTAAAGATGATAATGTTTTAACTTTTAAGGAGAAGGCTACAAACCACATGCTAAATTCCCCAAAACCATTGTGACTAACAACTAGAGTACACTTCGGGATTCTCTTCAACTCCACTATGCAAGGGAAAATGCAATCATTAGCTGGTATAACATATTCTTCAGTTTTAGCACTGCAAAGAAAGGAAACAGAATATGTAAACTACTAAGCTTTATTAAGAATAACTCTTACAACTCAAAGATATTGAAACCAATATTAGCTGCAATCAGCCAAACAACTGATAAAGGATATATAGGTCATCATATTCATTCATAGCTGTGTTATGAGTACAATAAAATATGTGCAGCAATCAAATGATATCTACCTAGAAAATGCTAAGTGCAATGAAAATGGAATATTTGCTGGCCAAAAAAGGCAAAACAAAAGTGGCAAGAAATTACAAATGGTATTCATTTAAGGTTTTCAATAGTCAAAAGAGGAGCAGAGAACACAAGAATCGAGAACACTGGTTATTTGAAGTTTCAAAACCATGAAATTTCTACAGATATTCAATTGGTTAAAACTTTTAAATCTGAAAAAAAGAGCTATCATCCAAAGAAAAACATGGAAAACCATCCTTGTCATAAAGCTTTACTCAATCAACTTTCAGATCCATCCTAACTGGTTCCAGCATGATAATAGCCAATGTTTCTCTAATCCTAGATTCTCAAGCAGTATCAAATACTTCAGGAGGATCAAAGTAAAATAAGGGAAGAGGCAAGTTTTAAGACAGGTTTAAAATGGGGATTGCTGCAGAACAATAAAGCAAACAACAGTATTCCACCATCAGCTATCAAATTAGGAATCCTGCAATTTACATGCCCGGATAGCTACTCAAAGTTCAGCAGTTTTAGTAGTTCACTGCTAAAAATGTAAACAAAGTCTAAACATGGTGCTCAATAAAACAAATAGAAAAAATGGCCACAAAACTT